ATATCATCTATACTTGTCCCATCTATGCCTCGTCCACACTGTGCCTCGACCCCACTGTGCTACCGTTTTTTTTAATTTTATTTTTATATAAAATTTCAAAATTGAAGAATTTTGGCAAATTTTAAACTAAAGAAATCTTAAATTAAAAGTTAATTAATTTCAGCTTATCACACCATATTTTAGGAAAAAAATCATGGGGCTATATTCAAGTGTTAATATCGATGGTTTGGTGTGAAATGTAATGCGTTTTTTAATCAAAATTAGTTAGTTACTTAATTGAGCGATTGTGAATTATTTGATTCAAATACTGAATAATTCGTTCAGTTTTTCTAAACTTTATAAGATTTATTTTGTTACCTACTAATTTAAACCCTTTTAGTTGAATTTTAGTGAATGCTGTAAAAATCTTTTATTCGGAACACGGCCGAAAATCCACTAATTTTTTGATATATTGCTCAAGGCGAGCAATATTATATTTCTAAGACAGAAATATAATAAAGAAATGATAATAAAAATAATTTTATTAACTTAATGCATAGTTGTAAAAAATACTTTTAAAAAGTATTTTAAATAATATTCAAATATTTAAAAAAAAATGTATTTAAAATACTATTTGAATACTTTTCATACAAAAATATTTGAGTAATACTCAATTACTTTGCAAAAGTATTTCAAATACTAAGAATACAATTAAAAAATAATAATAATGTTTTTATTTTAACTAAGAGCAAAAGGTTCCACCTAAATAATTACCAAGAGGGTAATTTGAGTCAAATATTGAGTACTCTTAAATTAAGAGAACTCATTTATTATTTTCGATATTTTTTGTTGGAGGTAAATAAAATTAATTATTGGAGACTAATCAGTGAAAAAAATAAATATTAGTACACGTGTAAAAACCTGTAAAGTATGTCTTATTGACAATAGAGTAAATCATTTGAACCTGCAATAGGCTATTGTAGGTTCAACTGATGTATTAAAAATAGATGTATACATAATAGCATTTAGATAAGCACAATAATTATGTTATACTATAATGTAACATATAAAATAACAGAGAATTATTCTCAATTTTCATTTTGACTGAGTTTAATTTGCTTGCTGTGTTACGGTTAGCAAATTAAAAAAAAAAAAGTATATTAATAGTATTGAATATTAAACAGTATTAAATACTAAATAATTGTATTTAAAATACTACTCAGATACTTTTTATTAAATTTATTTAAAAATACTATTCAATACCAATGAAAGTATTTGAATACTTTTATTCAAATACATTTACTCAAATGCTTTACGCCTTTGACTTAATGTTACAATAAACAAAATTGACAATTATATTAATTTAAATAGTCATTGTGGGGGTTGTTTAATCTATATAATTCTTTAAGATTCAGTTCTTATACAGAAAATATACATAATTTCTTTTTATGATCCAAAAATCGAATATTACACGATATTAGTTAATTATAATAATGATTGACAAAAAATTGTTAACCTCTTTAACTTTGTTAAATTTTTTAACTACTGTAGAATACATGATCATTTTCTAATATCAGCAATCAGCTGCAGAATAGTGATAAGAATAGACGGAATGCCTTTTCATTATCAGTGATCATAATTTGTTTATTTTAAATAGTTAAAAAAAGCATAGTTATGTTGTTTCTGTGTGGTGTATAATTCTTTTACATCCAATAATTTGGGTTTCAATTTATCAAAATTAATATTTTTAAAATATGAGTTCCAATATTACTATTGAAAACTTGTTTGAAAAATCTAGGTTTGTATAATTTACTTTTATTAAAAAAAGAAAATCTATATCAATGATATTTTTTGTTATATTTACACAATGGTATGAGGAAAATTGTTATTGACATCTGTTTATCTGAATTATATAGAATAATTAAAGAATTAACAACATTTGTGTGTCTAGCTTTAACTTGTAAAATTTAAGTGATATTTATATTGTTTATTTAATAAAACTTCGGTTATAAGAATTGGGTGGGTAAACTGAATCAAGACAATTCAGTATAAGGTGCGCACAATGGACCAACAAGTCTGAGTGCAAGGGCATTATATTCACCTTAATAAAAACTAAAACTATATTGTTTATTCAAATTTTTTAGGTTTCCACAATCTTCTAGTGAATTAATTGGAGTTATAATTTACTTTCCATTTGGAGTTATTTTAGCAGTTATTAGGGCATTTATTGCACTAAATGCATTATGTTTAACTATTATCTCGAGTAATTATCCAAGATTACGCAGGTAAATATTAAACATTATTAGTTAAGCAACCTATATATATTTATTCAACATATATATAAATATCATTATTATTTGTTTTTAATATTACTAAATAAATGTTGACAGACCGTTATTACGAATTATGTGTGGAGTACTTGGATTAATTGTTGTAGAGAAAAAAAATTCTGTTCCAAAAAAAAGTCAAGTGATTGTTTCTAATCATTTATCTATTTTTGATCATATTGCATTGTATTTAGTTACTGATTCATTTACGGTATTTTTTTTATTAAATTTTTATATAATCTTTAAAAAAAACTTTTATTAAGATAACACAACTTATATTATCAAGATTTTTTTTAGATACTTTTAAAAAAGGTACATTTTTAAAAAAATAATGCAATTGAGTGTTATTAATTAAAAGGTAACCAAAATCTTGATATCTTAAACACTAGTAGTATTAATGTATATTAAATAAGATGTATCAATGATACATTGAGTCATGTTCATAATATGCACATTATACATATGCAATATAAATTCCAAATTACAAAACTATTGAAAATAATTAAATATTTATTTTAAAATCGTTCTAAACAAAAAATGACTAATTATTTAAGTATAGAATATTTTGTATATTTATTTATCCCACATTGAAAAATTTCTAATAAATAGTAATAGCCTTTTTAGTTAAAGTTTGACTTTTAAAAGTGATAGTTAATTAACTGAATTTCCACTGTATTAAAATACATCTAAAGGATCTCATACTAGTTAAAAAAAAAAAGTCACTAAAAAAGAAATTTTTTCAATTTTTAATATGTATAAAAAAGGATATCGTCTACTAAAAGATTTCAATATTTTATCAAAAATTTTGATTTGGATTAATGATTTCTCTACTGCAAAATTTCAAATAAGCATACCAAGTTTTGAAAATAGTCACAGAATAATTTTTTAATTTTTTTTACTCAATTTATTTTTGAAATTTTGAATTTTTCGATACGTATAGTTCTTATTTTTTCAATATTTTAATATCCTAAAGATGAAATGTGAAAAATATATAAAATAGAGAGTTACCTTTTATTTTGTATTATACATTATCTTAATATTTTCAATTATATTTTATTTTATGTATAATGATTTATTAATTAGTTATAAATATTGTAGCCAACAAAGAAATTAAGTGGATCAAGTGCTTTGTTCTTTGGTCTTTTATCATTGTTAAATAATGATAATGTAGCTTCAGAATCAAGTATCATAAAACAGTTTTTATCCACTGGAAAATCATTATTATTATTTCCTGAAGGTACCACTACTAATGGAAAATATGCACTTCTTAAGTAAATAATTTATAAAAACTTTTGTGTTAACATGATCAGTATAAAACATAAAAAAATTATACTAAAAAAAATGGTAACACGGTGGGGTCATGGCACAGTATGGATGTGCCATAGTTGGGATAAGTATAGATGATATCTGACATTGATTAAAAACACTTTTATAAGAATCGCTTCTATGCAAATCTGTCGATAGTGTTTAATTTTAAGATATTGGTGGATTATTTCAAAAGCAAAATTTACTTATATATTTTGTTCAAATTCGACTGCCATTTGTACTTAGCAGATAGGTTGTCGGGACAAATTTTTATTTTTTTAATTTATAGTACATAAAATAAGCTATATTTTAACATATATTTAAAGGACGCAGTATTTCCATAACATTTTCAAAAGTTAAGTTGAAAAAGTTCTACTTTTTATACAAATTTTCAAAAATTCAAAAAAGCTTTTCTTAACTTTAAAGAGGATAAATAATCAAAATAAGTATGAAATTATACTTAATGTAAGTTAGATTCATGTAAATTTTATAAAAATTGGTAGACTATTACTATAGCAAACTCTTATAAGGTATTTTAAAATAAACAAACAAAAATAAAATTTGAACACATAAAGTTATAGCAAATTAAGGTTGAAAATTTAAAATCGAATATTTTAACAGAAAAATAGCATTTTTTTAAACTAAGGCAGCCATTTGCACATAGAGATAGGTCGTCGGCAAAATTTTTTTTTAATTTACAGTATGTAACATAAGCTTTAATTTAACATTCTTTAAATGATGCAATATTTCCGGAATATTTTCAATAGTTAAGTTGAAAAAGTTGAATTTAGTAAAAAATTGCTATTTTGAAACTTCCTCTGTAGCAGGTTAAAGTCAAATATTCACAAAAATATACCAAATGATAGGTAGTTAAGGTATCTATATAAAAAAAAATTATGTTTATTTGTTAATTTTTAAAAAAGTCATGGCTGTTTTAAGAAAAAAATGTCAAAATTACAATTTCAAAAATCGTAATTTTTTGGGGATTTCAACCATTTACGGAGGAACAAGGGAAAAATTTTTGAGGGTAATGTCTTTAACTAGATACAATTTGTAATCTTTTGATGTATCCTTGAGAAAAATCGGTCTAGTGAGATCTGAGAAAAAGTAGTGACAGTCACAAAAAAATAAACACATCTTAGTAAAATTTATACCTTCTCAGCTTCGCATCAAGCTAAAATATTGTATATATATATATATATATATATATATATATATATAGGTTTTTCAGTAAGTAAGCAAACAGGTCAATTGTTATAAATAATGAGACCAATAGAAACCCATTTCCTAACTTACTGAACACTCTGTATAAATATTTTTTTTTATCAAAAAAATTGTCCAATCAATTGTTTTATCACTTATCCATATTAATCACTACTATCTAGCCTTAATTATAAATGTGTAATTTTAGGTTTGCAACTTCAACTTCAATTATATGTGACAAACTGCAACCAATTGTCATAACTATAAAACGTCCTTATCTTTCTAACATAAATTTCTCAGTATTAGGTTGTAGTCAGTTTACTGAAATATTTTGGTTTTTCTTTGTTCCATTCACTAAATTTGAATATAAGTAAGTATAAAATGTGTTAAATTTTTCATAATATAAATATTTTTTAAATACATATATATATATATGTGTGTAATGAATTATATATATATAATTCATTACATAATTATTTATTACTGAGTTTTTTTGTTAAGTTAAAATTGATATCCTAAGATCATTTTACAATCTATTAAGTTGATTAATCCAATATATCATATAGAAGTTAACTTTAATTAGTTAAATTTATTAAAGATTTGTTTATTTTATTTTAGAATTCTTCCTGTAGTTGAAAGATTAAAAGATGATTCAAATGAAACAATGATGTCAAGGGTTGAAATAGCTATTTCTCAAGAATTAAAAATATCCACATCTAATTTTACTAAAAGTGACAAAGTATTTAAATTATTTTTAAATCTTATGAATTTATTACTTTATATTGATTATTTTTAATAGGCCGAATTTGAAAAAAAGTACTTATTGGAACTATCTAATGAAAGAAAAAGATGCAACAAGCAATTATCCTCAGATAACACTGAAGAAGATCCAGATATAGTGAGAATGGCTTTGCAAGTTTCAGATGTCTTGCCATATGTTCCAAATAATGTAATTATTGCTAATCTGAGTAAGTATTGAAATTTATTAATTTTGTATGCATAACATATAAGGTAGTAATTCGAAAAATTTAATTTTAAGTTTATATTGTATTATTATTAAGCAAAAATTATTCTATAGTCACTGTACTGAACAAATCACTGTTTTAATATTTTAAATATTTTAAATCATTTTTTTTAGTCTGAAAGTTTTTATTAATGCCTTATCTGTGATTTAGTCCCAGAAAAATATATAAATTCAATATTTTGAAATTAAATAATATATAGGTGCTTCATTTATCAAGAGCTACTTAATTAATACAAAAATATAAATAATAATAATAAAAAACGCTTCGATGCAAATCTTTAGATACTGTTTAATTTTAAAAAATTGGTGGACTATTCCAAAAGCTACATGATCTGCTAGTTCATTATTAATATCCTAATTAAGATAAAGTATGTAGAATGAAAAAGGGATTATTAAAAAATATTATTTCTCATAAAAAACTAATGTTGATCCATACACTTTTCAATATGTCATAGCATTATAAAGTTAAAAATGTAAAAAATAAAATCGAGAATTTTCACACAATAATAGCATTCGGTAGCCATTTTCACCGTGAAGATAAAATAAAGTCCGAAATTTTTTTTCCATAATAAAGTATATTACATTATCCTTAATTTAAGATATATATAAAAGTGTCAGAGTTTCCGGAACACTTTCAAAAGTTAAGTTGAAAAAGTAAATTTTTTATGAAAAAGTTATCATTTTAAATCCCCTTCTGTGGGCAGGTAAAGAGCCAGATTTATAAAAAAAATATACCAAATGATAGTTAAAGACATCAAGAATCTATAAAAAAAAATTATATTGATTTGTTCATTTTTGAAAAAGTTATAGCAGTTTTAAGAAAAATAATTTTGAAGTAAAATTAAAACTATATTAAAAATATTATTAATTTAAAAAAAACTAAAAAATATTAAAAATATTAAACTCAAAAGCCACAAAAATTTTTTGTGGCTTTTGAGTTTAATATTTTTAATATTTTTTAGTTTTTTTTAAATTAATAATATTTTTAATATAGTTTTAATTTTACTTAATTAACTAGCCACAAGTGATCAATTTTTATTAAATAATTTTGAAAATTAGCGATTTTTAAATTTGTAATTTTTTTGAGGTTTCCCCCATTTACGGGAAACGAAGAAATTTTTTTCAATTTTTGAGGTAATGTCTTTGAGAAGATACGATTTGTGATCTTTTGAAGTATCGTTGAAAGATATCGGTTCGGTGAGAGCTGAGAAAAAATGGCAACAGACACAAAAAAATAAACACATCTTGGTAAAATTAATACCTTCTCAACTTCGCATCAAAGTTAATACCTTTTTAAAAACTTGACGGATTATTACGACATTTTTGTTTGTGATGTTATAGATATTAACCTTGATGACAATACGTTTTTTTTCATAACTTTTTCATTATCCAAAGTTTTGGGGGCTTATAAAAACATATTAACATTTTTTTTTTTCAAATTTTAATGATGTTCCAAAAAACCTGTATTTTTTTAACCTGCATAAAATTAAAGCTAATACAATGTTCGAGATGGAAAAAAGGAATCTATCCGAAATTTCGATTTCTAGGAATTATTATAAGGAATTAAAGTCAAAAAATCATTCGATTTATTGCAAAATAGCCGATTTTGAAGTATTTTGCATAGCAAAACATTTGCTTAGTTTCAAACCTAATAAGTTATACCTTTTTAATTGTACCGTTTTGTATTTGTATTTTATGATTAAAAAAGAGACATTCCAACAAATTGTCTTCTATGAGTAATGGGCTTCTAAAGACGCAAATCATGTAATTTTTAATGTATTTGTTACATTTTTTTATAATTAGTTTAAGCATAAGCAATAGGCATCAACGCAGTTATGCAGCAGAGATTTTAATCCTCGTTAGATATTAATCAATACTAATTAAAAAAATTCTTTAGTAACTTAATTTATACTGTTTACTTGTTTTAAACAGGGTTTTTATTTTTAAAGTATATTTGTCAACTACCCTAATATACCTGTAAATATTCTAAAACACAAATATTTTCAGGTTATTATGGTTAATATGTTAATTTTTTTTGTATTGTATATAGAAAGAACTAGGAGTGTTGATATAACTATTACAAATATTCTTGATGGAACTGTGAAGTATATACCATTAAAACAGCCATCCAGAGAACAAAAACCTGTGGTGGGTGAAATTGATGTTTAATATTTTTGTTCAATTAACTCATTTATTTAATGTTATATAAAAAATGTTTAAAAATTAATTGTTAATTTTAGGTTAAAAAGATTGAGTATAACAATTTTGAAGTTGCATCATTTGTTGAAAGAAAAGCAAAATTGATTGATGAAGCTAGAAAACGATATATAAAGAAACACGGTCTTCATCACTTAGTTTAACATATTAGAAAAATATATATTTATACATCTATGAACATAGATTTATTATATTTTTGTATAACACTATTATAATAAGTACTTATGATTAATTTTTTAATTTTGCTATATTGAGACCATTTTTTATAAATTGTGTAAACATATATTTTAGAAATAATAAATAATGTAGATATAAAGTTGAATATTTTGATTATAAGTATTATTTTACTATATTAAGTTTACACATATTATGTATGTAATAATATTGAGGAAATAATTTAATAAGTTAAATAAAACTTTAATTTTTTTTGAATATAAAATACAAACACTTTTGAAAATTAAAGATTCTTTTATTTAATATGTAATACAATTATATATTTAGTTATTGCACTGAATACATATCATAAATAACACATTTCTCAAATACATTTGTATTTTAATATACATATATAGATAGATACATTAAAAAACATACATACACACTTCATTTTACACTATTCAATTATTTTGTTTTCTACAAATTCATAGAAAATTAAGTTTCTTCTCTTAATTTTTAAAACAAATTATCATACATGTTATTTTTATTGGTAACCCATATGGAAAACTAGTCATTTTCTTTATTTTTTTTATTTTACACTCAAATTTTATATTCTTTGTTGCTAATCAAAAAACTTCATTATTTTATCATTTTTAGAAGTAAAGAAAGGCAAAAACTTTTTTTAATTCACAGTACATAAGTTGAAAACAAAAAATAAAATATAACATATATAATTTAAAAGTAATTGAATGAGAAATTTCAAGAAATTTTTTTTTGGGGGTAAATGCATGTGTGTATGCAAATATGTATTTTATGAAACTAATTTTAATGAACTAAATAGATGAACAATTTTATTAGGAAATTTTCAATTTATAGTATTAATTAAGAATAAACATACAAATATAGAAATTATTTTAAGGCACTTATGCAATTTTACAAAGCTAAATAAATATATACAGATATATTTAAGTTATAAAATGAAATAATGGTTTTTTAAGAATCAATAATAAAACAAACTAATATACAAAAGTTTAATGAAAGAATAGTATGTTTATAGAGATAAAAATTTTCGATTTTTGTCTATATGTAAGTATTAATTAGATATCCAAGGGTAATCATCATGCTAATAAAGTTGGGTTTGTAAAGATAAAAGTTGATTAATATATCCTACAAATTAGACATTTACGATTAAACTCAGTGTGTATTTGATAGGATATGCTGTTAAAATTTCATATGAATGGTTTCCACATAATTGATCTTATATTAAAATAAATATACTTTTATTTTATTCTTTAATACATGACTTATTAAGTTACAAAGAGATATGTATATTTTTTAATTAAAAAAGATAGTTTTAATAATCTTTGAAACTTTTAAATATTGTAGTTTATGAGTGTATAATAGGAGTCAACAAACGCACTGTGTGTCTTATTTAATTTGAATTATTAAATAACAATGTTTGTATAAATAAATCTTTTATGTTACTCTTTATCACTACAAACATTTTTTATCAGCCTCAAAATAGATTAGCTTTGTCATAATACATTTAAAAATTACAAATTGAATGACAATGATGGTGTGTTATAAACGTGGTTGATACCAAACAATACGGCCTGCTAAACAGCCTGATACAAGTAATGGGTGAACAGGCGAAAATTTAGTACACAAAACAATATTTGAATGTGACACATTTGTGCCTATTTCATGTAATTTGATACCTGGGGATTTTGGCATTAATGTAGATAATTCATCACAATTTGGTGAAAATGAAAGTAATCTGACACCATGACTAAAGGGGGAACAAATAATACGTCCATCATTTGAATAGCATAATTCTTTGATAAATCCTTTACCAACATTTGCTTCTTCTATATAATGTGTAAGTCTATCAGAATTTTTATGAATTTTATGGTCAATAGGCACTTGATATCTATTCATACGATTAAGAACATAACTACTACGTCGTGATCGATTTCCAACCAAAAATAATGTATCTCCATTTTCACGTCTTGATTGGCGGGTTATGTTGTCTCTGGAATTCATTACAAAATAACTACGTGTTCGTAAATCTGATGGTGCATTTCGATTAATTAAAACAGTCACTAGTCTTTCTGAAGGTGGTCTATTATCCATTTCTTCCATTGATAATTCATCTAAGTCATCTTGATCTTGCAAACCTGTAGCACTCCTTACTATTCGAACACCAGAATATGTTCCTAATACCCTTTCTCGCCCTTCTAAAAACAAACGTTTTACACTACTTAAAAATATAAATTATCATGCAAGAATTCAATTACCAAGTCTAAATATTTTAATATCAATTTTTTTTTTTAAATTTTAATAAGTAAAATAAAAAAAATTTTTATAACACATAAACATAAAATTTAATTTACCTGATAAAAATCTCAAACTTCTAATACGAGTACCACTTATTTGCATCATAGCTTCCCAAAGATCAGCTTGTCGATTACCTCTAGGACCTAATACAGAATATGGTGGTATACTGTTACTATTGTTTATATCACGAGGAATAACTACATGTGTTCGTCTATGTAATCTTCCTTCCCTAATTAAAAAAAAATGTAATATATATTTTTGTTACAAATAGTCACATATTGTCATTCAAAATAGCTATTAAAAAAAACCCAGCACAGTGGGGTGGTGGCACAGTGGGGTCGTGGCATAGTTGGGTCCAGTATAGATGATATCTGACACTAATTAAAATCACTATCATAAAAAACGCTTCGATGCAAATCTGTAGATAGTGTTTAATTAAAAAAAAATTTTTGTTAAAATAGCATATTTTTGGATACGGTAGCCATTTGCGCATAGAAGATAGGTCTTCGGGACAAATTTTTTTTTATTTTATAGTACATAAAATAAGCTTTAATTTGATATATGTTTAAAGGACGCAGTATTTCCGGAACATTTTCAAAAATTAAGTTGAAAAAGTTAGTTTTTGTAAAAAAGTTGCTATTTTAAATCCCCCCTGTGAGCAGAATAAGTGTTAGACTTTCAAAAAAAATTATATCAAATGAAAGGGAAATATCTAAGGTTTCAATACAAAAAAATATTATTTTTATTTGTTCATTTTTGAAAAAGTTATGGCAGTTTTAAGTACAAAAAACATCCCGATAAAATGTAATTTTTATCGCAAACATTACATTTTTTTTNGGTGATTTTTATCGCAAATATTACATTTTTTTTTAATTTCGACAGCCATTTGCACATAGAAGATAAGGTGTCGGGACAAATTTTTTTTTTTATTTGATAGTATATAACATAACCTTTGATTTGATATATGTTTAAAGGACGCAGTATTTCCGGAACATTTTCAAAAGTTAAGTTGAAAAAGTTAGTTTTTGTAAAAAAGTTGCTATTTTAAATCNCATTTTCAAAAGTTCAGTTGAAAAAGATCTATGTTTTTTACAATATTTCAAGTTTTGAACGCCCCCTATATAAGGGAAAATTGTCCAATTTTAATAAAAAGTATGTCAAATGAAAGATGTACTTATAATGTATTTAGAAAAAAAAAATTATGCTGATATATACATTTTTCAAAAAGTTATAGCATTTTTAAGTTGAAAATTTAAAATCGAAAATTTTAACACTAAAATAACATGTTTTTAGCTATGGCAGCCATTTGCACGTAGAAGACAATTTCTTAAAACTACCAAAACTTTTTGAAATCTGAATTGAATGAATCAAAAAGATTTTTTTAAATATTTAAACTTAAGTTAATTCCTTTTCATTTGATATAATTTTTTTTGAAAATCTGACCCTTTATTACTTGACTAAAATGGGGAAGGGGATTTAAAATAGTAATTTTTTTTACGAACACTTAACTTTTTCAACTTAAGTTTTGATAATGTTCCGGAAATACTGCGTCCTTTAAACATATATCAAATCAAAGGTTATGTTATATACTATCAAATAAAAAAAAAAATTTGATCCGACACCTTATCTTGTATGTGCAAATGCCCACCAATATTGAACAAAAAATGTAATTTTTGTGTAAAAAACATGATTTAACGTGACGTTTTTCTTGTACTTAAAACTGTCATAACTTTTTAAAAAATGAACGTACTAAAAAATATTTTTTATGTAGACATCTTATGTATTATCCTTTTATTTAATATAAGTTTTTTGAAAATCTGACCATTTACTATTCATATATTAAACTTATAAATCAAAGAACTACTAATCAGGAATAATGAAGGAAATAAGAGTTCATTTTGCTTTTAGAATAATCCACCAATTTCTTAAAATTAAATACTATCTACAGGCTTGCATTGAAGGGGTTCTTATGAGAGTGATTTTAATCACTGTCAGATATCATTTATACTTGTTCCAACTATATCATTGTTTCAGAACTTAATGACTTGATATTGAAAAGATAAAGGCTGAGAAATGTTTTATTACAAAAATAGCAGCACCCACTCTTCACCAACAGTCATTTGTGATGGTGTCACGTTACCATTATTGTGAGAATTATTTTAATAAAATACAGACAGCACATCCGCTTCTTGAGACTGGTGAATTAACAAATAATATTTATTGCCAAATCGGCAATAGGTGTAATTATTATAAAAACCCAATAGACCTGACCATCGTCGTCAGTCGACTCTAGTGCCTTGTGTCATTCATCAGTCTCAGTACTCGGTTGTCGCTGTCCGGCTTACTGCTTAAAGTAAAGTCTTTGTTTATTCCTTTTTAAACCTATCTACTCTCATCCACAATATTTCAGAGTACTTGTGTCTTGCACTTCGTCTGCACCTCATACCTAGGTGTTACCCTTATTCCCTTCCTATAACAACAGCCTTTCGACACCCACAGCTAACCCGGAGTGTCAGCCGAGCACGGTGACTGCTGTACGACAACACGCACGTGAATACCTAGACAGCAGGCACCACATCCTCATATTCATCTTCGCATCACAATTACCTTTATACGTGTTTCATTTCTTTTATTGTGTTACGACAGAGTGGCGCCCAACAAAGGTAACGTATATATTACGTTAAGGTTGTTGTTATAGTATAAGAAAAATTATTATTAAGCCAACTTATCCACACTTGATGGCCAAGGAAGAATACATGGCTAGTGATGACAATAAGAACCGTAGAAAGCCATTCTTTAAGCCAAGTCAGTTTAGGGGAGAAATTCACAAAAGCTTAGACCTGTTTCTTAAGCGATACAAGAGGGCCAGTATCATAAATGAATGGAACGATGAAGAATAAGTTTAGTTTTTACCAGCCTTCTTGGAAGGTACGGCTTTACACTTCTATGAAAATCTAGAAGAAAACACCGTCGGCCAAATCAAGTGGGAAGATCTAGAGTATAAAATAAGGTTAGAATTTGAACCAACAGTTCAAACAGACATGATAAGAATGATCTTACAAAAACGCCATCAACAACTGGACGAATCCGTAAGCTCTTATTTAAATGAAGCTGATGCTTTATGCTTACGTATAAATAAGGACATGTCACAAAAAGAAAAAGTACATCTTATTATGAAGGGATTACGCCCCGACATTTTAAGAATGGTTTCGATGTTGGACAATGATACCTTGGACAGTCTAAAAAAGAATATAAGAAAATGGGAGACTACAGAATTTCTCATAGAAGGCGATAAAAGTAAGTCTAGTTCAGAAATTAGAACAGACATTCTTAAGGAGCAAATCCAACACATGTCAAATAAAAAACAAGAAAATGAGCTAGAGCAATTAAAAAGGCAAGTCAAAGAACTTTTAGATTTTCAGAAATCACGGACTAATACAGTAAAAAAATTTAATGGTAACACGTCCGGCAAAAACAGAAAATGTGATATTTGCAACAGGACTAACCACATTACTGAGAATTGTTTCCGTAACAAAAGATTAATAGTTCAATGCCAAATTTGTGAGAAATACGGCCACGAAGCAAGTGTCTGTAGATCCAGAAAAAAGGAAGCAGATGACACAAAGTGTCAATTATGCCAGTGCCAAAATCACACAGCAAAAAATTGCAACCAAAAAAAAACTAGTTCATAGGTTAAACATTCACGCTAAGGATATACGTTCACCTTCAACCTTAGCAAACTCAAAAATAAAATCACATCAGTCAAAAGATGTTATAAATAAAGTTAATAAAAGCAATAAAATTGAATAAGTACAATCGACAAGTCAATATTCTAGCGCAAAAGCATTGTACATCATAGCCACATTAAACCAAACAGAAATAACAGTCACTATAGATACCGGGGCAAATCTAAATATATTAAACGCGGAATTAGCTAAAGAATACAACATAAAAAAGGTTGAAAATATGCTAATAACCGGAGCAGATAACAAGCCTTTGGATTTAATAGGAAAAACTATTATTCAAATCGTCATTGAGAACGAGCAGTTTGATGTAGCTGTCTATGTTGTAAATAACTTAATAAGTTCGCTTATATTGGGAAATAGATGTTTCATTTCTTTTATTGTGTTACGACACATTACTTTAAATTGTTAATAACTTCCAAAATACTGGTCCAAAAGTTGTTACTAACAATCCACTTTCTTGAATAAACCATTATTTATTAAATAAGCTAATTAATTATATACATTTTTCCATTTGAAAATCGTAAAAAACCTTGAACTAAAGGAAACCAATAAAAAATTATCATAATTTTTTTTTTATTAATTAAGATGCGTCTTGGTAAATTAATCACTGTATAAATTCAGAATTATGTTTGGTCATAGAAGTTTTTGTAATAGATCATGATTACTTTACCAATGATTAATTGTTAATGAAGCAATCACAAAACTAATGATCCATACATGTATAATAGAAAAAAAAGGTAATGTATAAATGAAGAATAAGGAGAAGAGTTAGACAAAGATGCATTATATATTGTCGCATTATATATTCAATATTTTTATTGAAATGAGCATAGATGAAATGAAAACCAAGACCAAGTGAGTGAAAATAAATAAGTCAACATATATACTGTAGTCGTTTTGCAGATGACATTGTAATTTTAGCAGAGTCTGAACATGACATGAATAATATGCTAAAAATTCTATCCAATGCGTACTTGATAAATTTAAAAAGAAAATAAATTCCATGAAAAAAAAAATAAAGCTTATAAGTAAAAGCACTCAGATATAAATCTTAATATACAATTAAACAATACACGATTACTAGAGGTTCAAGAATTCTGCTACCTTGGAAGTATCATAGCTTCCAATAACAAATCAACACCAGACATTGACAAAGAAAGCATTCTAAAACAAAAATCAGCTTCTCACCAATAAATATCTGAGCAATGGCATTTGTAAAAGATTCGTTAAAGCATTTGTCTGGAGTGTGCTTTTATATGGCAGTGAAATACGGATAATTGACAAGAAAGACAGAAGCATTAGAGTTATGGATATGAAGAAAAATGACAAAGACAAAATAGATAGACAAGTAAAGAAATGAGCAAGTGCTAGAAGAAAGACAGATGATGAAGGTGTTGAATCAAGAAAAATAAAGTTAATCGGACACATTATCCGACACAATGATTTTATAATCAACATTTTCGAAGGAAAAATAACTGGGAAGAAACCAAGAGGACGATCAAGGAAACAATATTTTGAAAATATCCTGAAACTCATGAACTGGGTGTCTTTTGTTTCACTGAACAATTTGGTGTCAAACAGAGAGGAGAGAGAAGCCTCAGCGACAAGGAATTGCCTTTAATAGATGATGATGTTGTATAAATGAAAACTTAATAACATAATTATCTATTTTTAACCATTATTTTTACTACATAGAAAATTGAAAGCATTGCATGATAACACTTGTAGCATTTAATCCAAACGTACAACTCAAATTCAATGAATTAAAAATAAGTTAATTTATAAAACTGGGAAAATTAAAAGTTTTTAATAGAGAATAGTATTAAATTACAATTAAAGTATTTAGAATGTGTTTGAAAGTATTAATACATTCATAAAAGTATTTAAATGTGTTTACTTAAAAACATTACAACTCCTATACTCTCAAAACATCATTTTTTTAAGGTAAGAATGAATATGGACAGTAAATAAAAAACAAAAATGATTGAAAATCTTGTATATATTTGATTCAAGAGATAAAGGCTTTAAATCAATTTAATAAACTTAAACAAAACGCCCAATAAAAATTGAAAAAATTAAATTTATTAAGTTAATAACTTGTAAAATATTGAATCCAAAATTCTATCTGGCTAAAAGAAAGTAGTAAAAAGTTAATTTTTTCTGTTTCAGTTTATGAATGGCGAATTATAGATTTTATCTCGTTATAAATCTTATATATTTTTTTTCCAACCTTCTCTATATTATCTTAAAATGTAAGCATTTTGGAAAGTTTGTACCCTAAAAAGTCCCCAAAAATATAACTCTCACACATATAATACAATAAATAACATAAATTTTATTATACATTTGATATTATATATTAATAATTTTGTTAAAAAAACAACTTGACAAGTAATAAAGTACTCACATTGGATCATCAGCTAAGGAATGTTCCAATCTATTTGCTTCTTCAGAATGAATTTCTTCAGTTTCATCTTGTTCTTCAGTACTATTAATATCCTGTATATCATGAATGCATGTCCACTCAGATTGTTCATCAGTGGTAATATTTCTACTTAATACATTCCAACCTTGTGGATGTAACTGAAAAAAAATTGAAACATTATAAATCATAAAAGCTTTTCCTACAAAAATGAATGAATAAATAATCAATAAAAGTTATACTTGAATAGAAGATATAATTTCAGCATCATCATTTCTAGGAAAATCTACAATAAATTCAACGCGATTTTTATTTCGAGAAAACATATGAGTATGAGCAGCAGCATTAGGAATAGTAGTTTTACTAAGTTGCATTAGTCGATACATATTTGGCTAAAACATCAAAATTAAGAGTATTTTAGAAATTGTTAATTATCTTACAATAATATAAAATGACTTATTCCTGATGTAATTGAATAAGTAATATAGTTTAATTGAATTTTTTGTAAACAGGATTTATCTGATGATTTATTCCACTAATTTATTTATTAAAAAACAAAATAATTCCAACTTAATAAGTAACTTAGCTAAGTAAGTAAAAACAATTCAAAGTATGACAGAAGAGCAAAAGGAGAGAATAATGGATGGATAAAGGATGGAGTATAAGGCTAGAAACAAAGGAAGTCGAAAAAAAGTCTATAGACTTGCAAAAGTAAGAGAAAAGAGATCTAAGATTATCACTATGTAAGGTGTAAAAAAAGTTTTGATAATAGGGTGCTATCAAGTGATGATGATATGCAAAAAAGGTGAAAAGAGTGTTTTGAAAATTTACTCAATGAGGAGTATCTAAGAAAGATATTAGAGGATATCTCATGGAACTAGGGTCTAGTAGATTTAATTAGTGAGAAAGATGTAAGGGAGGCTATGGCATCACCATGAAGAATAAAAAAATAAAAAAATAAAGCAGTAGGATCAGATAAAGTACCAATAGAAGTATAGAAAATATTAGATGGTTGAAGGAGCTTTTATAAAATTCTTTTAGAAGGGAAAATATAAAAAAAAATAAAGGAATACCATTGTGGTGTCAATATTTAAAGGCAAAAGAGTATATGCAGAAGTGTAAAAATGATAGAAAATAAAGCTTATTGTATGAAGTTTTGGGAAAGGGTAATAGACAAAAGAATAAGAGTAGAAACATTAGTAACAAAAACTGTTTTTTATTTGCCAAACGGGATTCTGTTTTAAGCCCTTACTTATTTTCTATAGTGATGGGTGAATTATTAGAGAGGTGCTGTGGTGCATGTTGTTCGCTGACGATATAGTATTAACAGGAGAAAATAGGGAGGAAATGAATTAAAAAGGGTTTATGAATAAGTAGGAGTAAGACAGAGTATATAGAGTACGAGTTTGACAAAAGAAGAACACGAGGTAGGTGAAATGAGGAGATCAGTGACAATAGGCGAGGTCGTGATAGGAGAGGTGGAAAATATTAAGTATTTAGAATTAGTTGTGCAAAAGAATGGTGGTATTGACGATGATGTAAGACACAGGATTCAGTGCGGGTGGTTAAACTGGAGAGAAGCATCTGGTGTTATGTGATAAAAGTATTCCAATGAGGTTGAGATGTGGGAGATTGTGTCAAGTGGAAGTTTAGGATAAGGGTGACCGAACCCAAATAACCTCGTAACCAACTTAGTTACTGATGAACAATAGATGATAATAAGAAATAAAAAAGAATTATATTTATGAAGTAAAATTTTATAAACATCCACTAAGGAGCGCTAAGTAATTACGAATTTAACAATCTAATTAAGAAATTAACTGATCAATAACAATTTTTAGACCAATACTTAGGAAGTTATTACTATTTTAAAATACAGTTCGTAGATGAGGCACGAGTATGATAATATTTATCCTTAGATATTTTTTTTTGGCCTCATTTCTCTTTTTATCTAGGTATAGAAATGATCAAAACTTTTAAAAAACTGGTTTAAAAGTTGTTATTGACTTGTCATTTTATTGATTAGATCAGTGGTCGGCAACCGGCGGCCCGCGGGCCGTATCCGGCCCGCGTGGCTATTGAATACGGCCCGCTTTAAATTCTAAATCGACTAATTTAATTGAATATCATTTTGTATAAATATAATTGAACGTTGCGTTTTTGGTACGGGTATTTTATATAAGTCATATTATTATTTTAAGTTTTAGATAGTATTTTTTTGCATAATAAATAATGTAATTATAAATTTTTTTTTTTTATCTGGCCCGCGAACTCTTTTTAATTTGTAAATGTGGCCCGAGAATTAAAAAAGGTTGCCGACCACTGGATTAGATCATTTTCTATATTTAAATTAATTGTTAATCATATATTTTCCCGTTTAAAAAAATTAAGTCAACAGCTTTATAAGGTATAAGGGATAAATATAAAATATATTTCATGATTGATAAATTAAAAAAATTTATGTAATTAAAAAAAAAAAAGTTCTCAATATTATTTCTATTTGTTGGTTAATTAAGTGGTTCACGATAAACATTCATATAATAAATAAGTTAGTTAAATATGTATATTGCTATTTAAAAGTCAACTTGACACCCTTATAAGGTATTATTGGAGGAATTAAAAAAGTAACTAATAACTAATAAATTAAGAAATATATAAAACTAAAAAACACCAAAAATATAATTCTTAACTTAATTATTATTTCAAGAAAATCAAGTGGCTAGCGTTATAAGAATCACCCTGTATAAGTTACATCCATTTCTATATTGATATATGTATGTGCCACATCAATAATGACAAGAGATTATAATGAAAAATTAAATCTGTTTTAGATAACAATTTTTAGTATATTGAAAGGCGCATTGACCTATATGGTATGGAAAAAGATGGATGGATAGCACCAAGAAATTATTAGAAAAAATAGAAGTGAACTGGTAGCAGATATATGATAGACAGAAATGGTAGCTTTGATGGCTCATAAAGCCTAAAAAAAAAAAAAATTTATTAGAAAATGTGATAATGCTCTATCCAACATTTTAATGAATTATTTTATATTAAATTTATTAAATATTGTTTGATACTATTATACTATTCAAATTAAAATATTTTTAGATGAATTTTGTAGGGGTTTGAGTTTTATAAGCCTCCATAATAATGCCCTCTCCTAGTATACTTTGAATTTAATACCGTGTACATAATAAATAATTAATTATTTTTAATTTACAGATAATACAAATTTTTCTGTTCATTAAAAATATATGTAAATATAAATTTATAAATTAAACAAATAATTACTTTGAATCCTTCAATATCTGTACCCAATGTATCTAAATCCAAGTTATGAACAAGTAAAATATAACCCCCAGTAGTGCAAACTACCATCTTACTGGAATCAGGAAGAATTTTGATACGCATTAGACCATTAATATGAAATACAGAATTGTTGCAAACTCTACCTTCTTCAGAATAACTAAAAAAATAATAAAATTACAATGTAACCAAAAATGTAATTTCTCTTCTTACCTATTTATATCCCATGTATAAATATGTCCATCAAATCCACTTGATACTAGTAAATTATCTTTAATAGAATATTCTATACTTTTAACCCAGTTAGAATGACCTCTTAATACCCGAATACTATCATTAAGATTGCGTACATCCCAAAGAGCTATTGTTGTATCATCACTACATGTAGCTAACATTCTAGAATCTAAAAATCTGTAAGAGAACATTATACTTGTAAAATTCAAATTAAATTTAAATATAAAATTACTCACTTAATACAGTTTACACAGTCATTATGAGCTTTCTTTATCGAAGTTATAAATTTTTGTGTAACTGGGTCAAATAACATAAAACTTTTTTTTTCACAAGCAGCAGCCAAAATTTTTCTATATAACCATACATTAAAATCAATATTATATAATCTAGGGTTTAATTTTAAAAAAAAAAAAAGAATTATAATTTCAAAGAGATTTGAAATGTTTAAAAATTTTTTATTTCATAGATGTGATTTAATAATTGTTCTAAAATGGTTTATAACAACAAGTTTTTATTATTATAAAATTTCATTGTTACTTTTCTTTTCAGTTTTTAGCTTCGATGCGAAGCTGAGAAGGTATTGGTTTTACTATGTTTTTTTTTTTTTTTTGTGTCTGTTACCACTTTTTCTCAGCTCTCACTAAACGGATTTCTTTCAACAATACGTCAAAAGATCACAAATTGTATCTAGTCGAAGACATTACCCTCAAAAATTAAAAAAATTACCCTCGTTCCCCGTAAATGGTGGAAATCTTCAAAAAAATTACAAATTTAAAAATCGTTAATTTTCAACATTTTTTCAATTTTTTTTACTAAAAACTGCCGTAACTTTTTCAAAAATGAACATATTAATATATATATATATTTTTTATAGATGCTTGATGTCTTTACCTATTATTTGGTATATTTTTTGTAAATTTAACCTTTTATCTGCCCACAGGGGGGGATTTAATATGACAATTTTTTTTATAAAAATTAACTTTTTCAACTTAACTTTTGAAAATGTTCCGGAAGGTCTGACACTTTTATATATATCTTAAATTAATGCTAATGTAATGTACTTTATTTTGAAAAAAAAAATTTAACCTCTGCACTTGTCTTCGTGGTAAAAATCGCTACCGAATGCTATTTTTGTGTGAAATTGCTCGATTTTATATTTTACATTTTTTACTTAAAAATACTATAACTTTTTAAAAAATGTATGGATCAATACTATTTTTTCATGAGAAGTAGTATTTATATACATCTTTCATTCGACATACTTTTTTTTTAAATCAAACTCTTTCTTTATATACGGGGGGTGTTCAAATCTGAAATATGCATATAGAAAGTAGAACTTCTTCAACATAACTTTTTAAAGTGTTACAGAAGGTCTGACACTTTTATATATATTTTAAAAATTAAAGCTAATGTAATATACATTAATTTGAAAAAAAAAATTTGACCTCTGAACTTGTCTTCGTGGTGAAAATAGACATCAAAGTTAATAAAAAAAGTAAATAAAAGTTTTCATTTGACATACTTTATCTTAATCAGGATATTAATAAGGAACTAGCAGATCATGTAGCTTTTAGAATAATACACCAATTTTTTAAAATTAAACACTATCTAAAGATTTGCATCGAAGCATTTTATTTTGATAGTGATTTTAATCATTGTCAGATATCATTATACTTGATCCAACTATACCACGTCACCACTGTGCCGCAAGCCCCCTGTGCTGGATTTTTTTTTTATTTGTTTTGCTTAATGTTACTATAAAATATTGTTTATTGATAGTGTTATATCTAAAATTTTAAAAAAATATTCTTATACTTTGGCAAAAATTTAGTGCAACAAAATAGGGTAATATTGTCCCTAAAAAAAAATGCATAAAAAAAAAAAGAGTACGCACAAAATGTTATTCCAACTTGTCACACATTATGCCAAAGTATCTTAAACTTGAATAATTTTACTACAAATACTATATTAGACATTTATATTTTGGTAAAATGTGGTGCAAAGTTCGGTACATATTTCATGGTAGTTATTTGTATACTCATTTAAGTTAATATGATAATCAACTGTAATTAAATATATATTTGATGTATTTTTAATTTATTATATTTATGTTTACTATATTCTTATGGAAAGCTATAGAAACTTTCTTAATCTTAGGGGTCTAATGTAGTTTATTATACCAACTGTAATTTCAGTATTTTTTGCATTTGTTTTTTACAATTAAGGGTTGATTTGAACCTGAATAAATGTAAGATATATAATTAAAGAAATTGTTAACTTAGAAAAATCAACCAAGTTATTTTAATTCAACTATTTGGCAACAATAAATTAATTGGCCGTGAATTAAGGTCATCATTTAAGTTTTAAAATAAAATATGATTACAATATTAAGTTTTATATATGCATTTATATTAATATTAATAATTGTAAATAAAAATAAGATATTAATGAGTTAAAAATAATTTTTGTAATAATAATAATTGATTTTTTTACTATAAACATATCTTTTATTAAAAAGAAAGATATTGTAATAATTTAAGTTTTAAATATTTACCCATCTGGTGAGAATTCTAAATTGAAAATACCGCCAGGATTTGAAATATCAGTACTGACGACATCATATTCCCATTTAGCAATAGGATACATGGATGTATACATTTCACAATGTAATCGACTTTGGTCACCATATTTTGGTCGGAAACCATACTCACGGTTTCTTAAATAAGTATCACGGAAATTCGTAGAACGTCGTCTTTTGATGCTTTGTGAACCATCAGGATCATAGTATGTTGTACTCATAGTGCTAAAAATTAATATGTATACAATTTAATATGAAAGTATAAATTTTAGTATTTAATAAAACTAACTCAAAGCTTATGTTGTAATCACTTAATTTAAACCAAAATTTGATGGATAGTTGTTAAATGAATTTAGTTTGTGAGCATTTTAAGTAATTAATTAACTGTAACATTTTTTTTTTTTTGTTTTAAATGATCACCTTTTTTAATATATTTGGGTAACAATAACCATTACGAACACTCTCTTCAATTAGAAATTATTAAAATGATGATGATTATAAACGTTACATTATCAATAATCTTGTGTTCTTATCAATTATATATATTTTATTATCTCCAACTAATTGATATATATATATATATATATATTTGTGTGTGTGTTAAATTATAAATAATAAATTTATAATTACCGAGTGTTAAAGAAATATAATTTTAGTACAAGTATAATGTATAATTTTTTATTTAATTATATTAAAAATATAAGATTAAAGAAAAAAATTTAATTTGTCGTTTTATTTATGTTATAAGTGTTTTACGTAATGTATGATCTCATAGAAAGATAAGTCAATAGAAAGCTGAAGGGGCCATGACACCAATACATGAAAACAGCTGATATTGTATTGCGAACAACTTATAATTGATAATTCCGTACATAACTAATATATTAAAATCGAGGACAAATTTACATATTTATCTGTTTATTGCTCAAAATCCTGTGGATATTTCTCTTTTTTAACAGAGCGGCTATTTCAAATTAGTTTTGATACAAATAATATTTATTATGGGTGTACAAACGGGAGTTCAACAAACGCCATTTCGATTTTTTTTTGAAATGTCAAGTAAAACATTTTTAGCTTTGCTAGACGATGTGGTTATTACAGTATTCGGAAATTCCTTTCAAAACATACGGATACAATCGCATTCGAAAAACAATTTTTTTAGAAAAATGCATTTGTAATCATGTACACCATATAAGATTAAATTTATGGCTGCGTTAATTAAATTAATACATTTTTAAGTTAAATTTTATGAAAAATAGCTTATAACTTATAAGTTTATAATACATTGTATAAGCAGTATCTACAGGCCTCTATATAAAATTTTACCATCGGTATGAAGTCAAACCTCAAAAATTTTAAAACTACGAGCAAAAAAGATCTTTAATTAATAATAGATGTACTATATTAAGTATTAATAATAAATTAAAGAATATTATACAGAATTTTAGTTTAATCAATATCATAAGTAATAAGGTGATATTTTGTAGCACCTAAAAATAGCGAAATCAATAATTAAAATTTCTTATCTTCAATTTGGGATTTTTGAAGTTTCCCCACTTCAAATTTTATTTAAATAAAATATAAACATCGTCATGGTATTTTCCATAAAATTCTCATAAAAATTGAGTAGTCACTCGATTTTTCGGCCTCCCATGAACAATTGGACAATTTCCCCTTATAGAGAGGGCGTTAAAAACTTGAAACATACTTATAAAAAGTAGAACTTTTTCAACTTACATTAAATATATATTTAAATTTATTTTGATTATTTTTCCTCCTCAAAGTTAAGAAACGCGAATTTGATTTTTTGAACTAACTTAAAAGTTCTTTTTATCTATTCGTACATGTAGTGCACGGTGGATGTGTCTTACATTTTACAGTCTTACACGTTCAGGGTACTAAGTTTGAACCCCGCCAGTTGAAATAACTTAATTGCATTTTTTTCTTAATTCTTTATAGAGAAGGGAAAAAAAATTAAAAATAAATAAAATTCAATCAAAATTTTCAATGAATATCAAGGGCCCGTTATATATCACCGTAGTCTCGCCTGTTAGAAGAAATTTCTTTTTCATATTAAAATATTTTACTATTTGGTCTTCGTTTTGTATCTGCCATTCTTTGTAGACCATTTATTCATATTTAACAACAAATTGTTTTCTNGCCATTCCTTGTAGACCATTTATTCATATTTAACAACAAATTGTTTTCTGAAAAGTTTTGTATCAATCACTTTAATTTTTATGTACGTTTGCCATAATATTAAAAACTGCTTTATAATTTCTCCGTAAAAATTACAATAATAAATTATTAAACATCAATTTCATACTATGTTGAATTGCTTTAATAGATATTATACTTATAAATAATAGAACTATCTATTAGGAATAATGAAGGAAATAGGAGTTAATTATGCTTTTGGAATAATCTACCAATTTCTTACAATTAAACACTATCTACAGATTTGCATCGAAGTGTTTCTTAGGATTGTGATTTTAATCATTGTCAGATATCATTTATATTTGTCCTAACTATGCCGCGGCCCAACTGTGCTACCGTTTTTTGATACACATTGGCTATTGAGATAGCAAAATATACAAAAACTTGATTTGATTGACATTATAACTGAGAATATATAACAATGAAGCTGTTGTATAGAGACTGGTTCTTTTAATATTAGCCACTTGATAATTTTTATGGTACTTTTTAATTTTATATATTTCTGGATTTTAATAAGCACTAAGTGTTTTTAATTCATGCCTGAAACCCTTATACCCAATAAGGGTGTCAACTATATTTTTTAAACATATATATATATATATATATTACATTATTTAGACATATATATTTAGTTAACCAATAAATTGTAAAAATAACCAGTGCAGGGGATCGCGAACAGTGTGGACGTGGAATATTTTGCACAAGTATAGATGATGTTTGACAGTGATTAAAATCATTATCATAAAAATTCTTCGATTCAAATTTGTAGATTATCTTAAATTTTTAGAAGAAAATGATAAATTATTTCAAAAGTAATGTGAACACCTATTTCCTTAATTACATTATGATTATAATACATATATATTATATATTATTAAATGCATAATATAAAAATGAAATTTTATATGAAATCGATATTCAGTATTTTGTTTTGTAATTTTCATTTGCTAAAAAAAATGATCTAAATAACAAAAAGACTAGTCAATGACTTCTTTTGAATTAGTACTATGGAATTATAATGTAACACTCTACACCTCCACTCAATAGTTTTAATAATCATAACTTTCATATAAATAGGTCAAATATTGTTGTTGACCAGTAATTTGTTTAATGATTTTTTGTTTTTTTAAGGTAATTAAATATGTATGTAAACAAAAATAGTTTAACTATGACAGCTATTTGCACATAGAAGATGAAGTATTCGAACAAAATTTTTTTTAACGTATAACTTCAAAAATTATTACGTACTATTGTATCTAATATTAGTTAAAAAAAGTTTTTTAAAGCTTTCAACTATGAGCTTCAAACATAAGTTAAAATGAAGCTCATAGTTGAAATATTTTAATATTTTAATTGAAAAGATTAACTTATAATGTAAAAGTTGCTATTATGAAGTAAGAAATTTTTTAATCATATTAATATTATTTTACTATGTGTTTTTTTTAGCTTCGATGCGAAGTTGAGAAAGTATTGGTTTTACTATGATGTGTTTTTTTTTTTTTTTTTTTGTCTGATACCACTTTTTCTCAGCTCTCACCGAACGGATTTCTTTCAACGATACGTCAAAAGATCACAAATCGTATCAAGTCGAAGACATTACCCTTAAAAATTGAAAAAAATTCCCTCCGTCCCGTAAATGGGGGAAACCTCCAAAAAAATTACAAATTTAAAAATCGCTAATTTTCGAAATTTTTTCAATTTTTTTTACTTAAAATTGCTATAACTTTTTCAAAAATGAACATATGAATATAATTTTTTTTTTATAGATGCTTGATGTCATTACCTATCATTTGGTATAATTTTTGTAAATTTAACCTTTTATCTGCCCACAGGGGGGGATTTAAAAAGACAACTTTTGCACAACAAATTAACTTTTTCAACTTAACTTTTGAAAATGTTCCGGAAGGTCTGACACTTTTATATATATCTTAAATTAATGCTAATGTAATGTACTTTAATTTGAAAAAAAAAAATTTGACCTCTGGACTTGTCTTCGTGGTGAAAGTTGACATCAAAGTTAATAAAAAATTACGATTTTTGTAAAATAATTTTTTTTTATATTTTTAACTTAATAATGCTCTAACTTTTTCAAAAATGAACATATCAATATAATTTTTTTTTATATAGATGCTTGATGTCTTTACTTATCATTTGGTATATTTTTTTTGTAAATCTGACACTTAACCTGCCCACAGGGGGGGATTTAAAATGACAACTTTTTCACAAAAAATTAACTTTTTCAACTTAACTTTTGAAAATGTTCCGGAAGGTCTGACACTTTTATATATATCTTAAATTAAAGCTAATGTAATATGCTTTATCATGAAAAAAAAAAATTTCGGACTTTATCTTATCTTCATGGTGAAAATGGCTACCGAATGCTATTTTTGTGTGAAAATTTTCGATTTTGTATTTTCCATTTTTAACTTTATTATGCTATAACTTTTTGAAAAATGTATGAATCATTACAATTTTTTTATGAGAAGTAGTATTTATATAGATCTTTCATTCGACATACTGTTTTTTTAAATCGGACCATTTCCCTAAATACAGGGGGGATTCAAAACATAAAAATGCATATAGAAAGTAGAACTTTTTCAACGTAACTTTTGAAAGTGTTCCGGAAGGTCTGACACTTTTATATATATCTTAAATTAATGCTAATGTAATGTACTTTTTTTGAAAATAAAAATTTGACCTCTGGACTTGTCTTCATGGTGAAAATGGCTACCGAATACTGTTTTTGTGTGAAAATTCTCGATTTTATAATTTACATTTTTTACTTTAAAAAGCTATAACTTTTTAAAAAATGTATGGATCAATACAATTTTTTCATGAGAAGTAGTATTTATATACATATTTCATTCGACATACTTTTTTTTTAAATCAGACTATTTCCCTATATATGGGGGGGCTTCAAATATAAAAAATGCATATAGNGATATTAATAAGGAACTAGCAGATCATGTAGCTTTTGGAATAATACACTAATTTTTTAAAATTAAACACTATCTAAAGATTTGCATCGAAGCGTTTTTTTTTTTATAGTGATTTTAATCATTGTCAGATATCATTATACTTTATCCAACTATGCTACTTCACCACTGTGCCGCGACCCCTCTATGCTGGGTTTTTAAATTCTTTAAAGTTGATTTTTGTGAAAGTTTATTGTAAAAAAAATTAATTTATTACCATAACTTTTAGCTAAATTTACAAGTTTGAAATTAACATCATTAAATAGAAAATTTTTTGAGAATTAAAAAAATTGTATTATTATGATTAATTAATA